CTCACACCTCACAGCCAATGCTCCTTGTCCCAAAGGGACATCGTACAGGTGGGGGAAGGGGAGTGGGGAGCTCCAGCAACCCTGGCCCAGGGAGACTCAGGAGCCTATGCAGGGCCTGGGAGAAGAGACGGGGGCCGGACCAAGCCCAGGAGGGAGCCCACCTTTTTGACGAGGTCCCGGGCATCTGGGGTGAGGTAGGCGGGCAGCTCCAGCTTCCCTCTGATGATCTTATCCATGGTTTTCTTCCGGTTCTCTGCAGTGAAGGGTGGCTGGAGAAGGCAGAGGGTGAGAGGAGCCTTGCGGGCCTCCCACCGGGCCCGCCCCTGCCCCGGGAGGGGGCCCTCCTCCCGCCCCCATGCCCACCCTCCCGAGGAGGCTGGACTTGCCGATCCAGTGAGCATGTCGTACATCAGGGCCCCCAAGCTCCACCAGTCCACCGCCCGGTTGTGGCCACTGCGCACCAGAATCTCAGGGGCCCTGGGGGCCAGGTGGAACCATCAGTCAGGCCGAGCCCTGCCTGGCTGTCCTCCCGACCCCTGGGCCCAGCCGGCTGCCGCTTACATGTACTCGATGGTGCCGCAGAAAGTGTGGGTGACGGCACCCTCGTGAATCGACTCCTTGCAGAGGCCGAAGTCCGTCAGTTTGATGTGACCTGGGGAAGAATGTTAGGGCGGGTCGGTCAGGACCCCAGGCCACCCCGCGGGGCTCAGCCCTCCCCACACATGCGCACCCTGGCTGTTGAGCATGATGTTCTCAGGTTTGAGATCCCGGTAGATGATGCCTTGGGAGTGGAGATGGCCCAGGGCCAGTGTGATCTCTGACAGGTAGAAACTGCAGAGACAGGACAGGGTGAAGGCAACGGGGGGGTGGGGAGGGTGGAGCCAGGCCCTGGTGGGGAGGGGTCCCTGCACCCCCTCAGGAGAGAGGCTGGAGGTAACACCCACCAGGCCGTGTCTTCCAGGAAGATGCCCTCTCGCTCCAGACGTGTGAAGAGCTCGCCGCCTGTGACACAAACATGTCAGCAGCTGTGTGCTGGGACCAAGCTCCTCTGCTCGCCGAGCCTTGGTTTCTTCTCGGGGAGAGTGGGGCTCGTAATTCCCGCCCTACCTGCCTCCCAGAGCTGCCGTGGGGACTCAATTCAATTCAGCAAACGTCTACCGACGCCTACTCGGTGCCTGGCCCTGTGCTGGGTGAAGCTGGGGACAGAGATGAGGAGCCCCAGCCACTGCCCGCAGGACGCTCAGTCTACTGGGGAGACAGACACACACACAGCTGCTCCAATGTGCCAGACTGAGGCAACGGCCCTGAGAGCCTACCAAAACCTTCACAGAGGAGACAGGAGGACACAGTTAATCCCAGCGTGAGGGGACAGAGAAAGTCCCTGGCAGCGGTGAGACTTAAAGGGGATGCAGAGATGGAGCGCAGGAAATGAAGCTCCCAGGGCTCATCGGGACAGATGGGGTCAGTAGGAAAAGCAGGCCCGGATCACTTCATGGCGAGCAGGGGACACCAGGCCAAGGAGGCCAGGCTTGATCCGGGCAGTTGCAGGGAGCCATGGAATTCTGAGTAGGAGTGTTGGGGGCAATCCCGTGCTCTGAGACGATGACCCTGGAAGTTGGTGGAGGAGACACTAGGAAGAGGGTGAGCTGGAAGCTTTGAGGCCAGTTAAGAAACAACTGTGACGCCTCTCCTCCGCCCAAGAGAGTAGAGAGGATAGAGGACACTGCAGAGAAAGAACCATCTGGATTGGGATCTGACTGGATGCAGGGCACACAGAAGGGGGGACCAGCACATGAAGGGCTACTGGAAATGGACAAAACAACCCTCTGGACATCTATACAAACTCCCACCATTCCCATCCACCCCCAACACTGGTGAGGGATACAAGAGGCACTGGACAGACGTTTGCTGAATGAATGAATGAATGAATGAATGAATGAATGAACGAACGGACAGAGGGATGGATGAGGTGGGGCCCCCCCGGCCATTCTACATACCACGTCTCTCCCAGCTCCCCCCAGAGCTCCCTGTGCTGGTTCCCTGGCCTTGCCCACACCCCAGATGGGCCTGCACTCATACCACTGAGGCACTCCAGGATGAGGTACAGTTTGCCACCAGTCTGGAAGGCATAGGCCAGTTCCACAATGAAGGGGTGCTTCACTGACTCTAGAATGTTCCGCTCAGCCCGCGTGTGTGCCGTGTCCTTGGCATTGCGCACAATTTTGGCCTGCAGAGGCAGGGATCAGTTAGAAGGTGGGCCCCCAGGACTCCCTCAGTCCCTCCAGCCATTACCCTTCAGCCATTCTCTATCACCCCATTGTATTTCTCCATAATTCTGCAGCTATCAGCAACCATCCTTTCCAGGGACTGGTTTATTCTAGTAGCACCGTGTTTCTCAACTTCCGCATTCATGACATTTGGGGCAGATAATTCTTTGCTGTGGGGGGCTGTCTTTTGCATTGTAAGACCTTTAGCAGAATCCCTGGGCTCGACCCACTGGATGCCTGCGGCAGCCCCTCTCTAGTCGTGACTCAGAAATGTACATCGACATTGCCAACATTGCCAGACGTTGCCTGGGAGGCAATACTGCCCATGGTTGAGAATAGACTGCGGAACAACGTAACTGCTACTGACGATAAACAAGCAAGTGCTCAAGATAGTGGCCATCTCCTCCACTACGTTCGCTGCTGTCTCCCAAAGGCTGGTGTAGCACATTGGGAATGGCAGCCACTGGGTGAGGATCTGTCGGCTGAACGAATGACTCACCTTCCTCAGGACTTTCATGGCATATATTCTGCCCACATTGGTGCCCTGCACCTTTCGCACCTGGAACACCTGCAGGGCAGGGGAGACAGGATCAACCTCCCTCTCCATATTCTATCTTCAAAAAGCCCTACCCTGAAGCTCTGGTACTGGGACCAAGAGGCCCACCCAGGAGTGGGGCGGTAAAGATTTCAAGTCCAATTCTAAGAGGATGTACAAGTCAAACTTTTTTTTCTTTTAACTTTTTGGCTGCGGGGCATGTGCGATCTTAGTTCCCCGACCAGGGATAGAATCCCCGCCCCCTGCATTGGAAGCACCGGACCGCCACAGAAGTCTCTATAAGTCTAATTTGTTTTGAGACCCTTTGGTGCAGCAAGACTAAGGCTACGAGGCCAGTGAGGAAGGAGGAGGGCCAGTACCTTGCCATAGTTCCCCTTGCCCAGCACGCGCAGCAGCTCGAAGCAGTGGGGCCCGATGCGCTCAGGGCCTGGGTTCACACTGCTCTCAGTCAGCTCCACCTCTTCATAGTGTCCCACAGGCCTGTGGACACAAGAAGTTAACGGGCGCAAGCTCCAATGCTCCTCAGGTCCCCTTCCCCAGCCCATTCCCTCCTCCCCCAACACAACCCTCACTCACTCCAGGCCAGCCGCCCTCAACTCGGCAAGGGGACACACGTCCTGTGAGAAACCGAGGGGTAAGAGCCAAGGGAGGTGCCAGGCTCCCTCCCCCCAAGCTGGACTGCTTGGCCCAGGCGTGGGAAGGGTGACGAATGGGAGCTGGCAGGCGATGGGCCAGGACTGCGGAGGAGAGGCGAGGGCAGGAAAGGGAGACGCAGGGGAAGGGCTGGGGGCCTGCAAGACAGGTGGAGGTGAAGGTAGGGTCAGAGCCTAATAGTGGCCGGGATCTTAGACAGATCGGGGTCTGCAGGAGAGGAGCCCACTCTGGGGGCGGGGGGCGGGGCGGGGGGGCGCACGATTGATCCCACCGCCTGGATGATGGGATCGAGCCGGGATCGAGCTGCGCCCGGGCGGACCACTCACCGCGGGGCTGAACTCTGGCTCGCCCTCGCCCTCGCTGCCTTCCTCCGTCTCCAGGTCCAGGTCAAACACCGCCGCCATGCCTGCGCCGGCCCCGCGGGCTCCCAGGCGCTCACCTAGCAGCGTTCTGACTGACAGACCGGCCCGGGCCTTACGTCATCACTCCGCGACTGCGGTCTCGCGCGCCGATGACGCAAGAGACTGCCCCTCCCGCGAGCTGGCGGCGAGAAAAGTTGGCGTCCGTCACAAGGCATCTCGGGAATGGTAGTTCCTGAGTGCCGGGGTGCTAAAGCCCGCCGAACCTTCTTCCGCGGGCCCCTCAGTCTTCCCAGCATAGCTTCCTCCGGGGTGGCACAGGACAAGGGCCTCCTGGAAGCCGATCATTTTGGTTCTGGGGCGACTTTGACTTTGGACGGGGCAGAGTCGAAGTGCATGCAGGTGTGAGTGTAAATGCAATTCCCAGCGCTGTTGGAGCCCTACGCCGCCAGGTTGTCTGGGTGGTAGAGAGAGGCGGGTCGAGTATATCTCTCTGTTCGCCTCTGAAAGGCAGCCGGCTGCTGCATCACGGTCTCTAACGTGCCTCCCGCTCGAGGACCCTCAAGTCAGCATTTACTGCTCGGTGCTCAGCTCACTGCTGGGCTTTGTTGGCAGATTCCTGCCGGAAAGGGTTTGGGTCTCACTGATCCACCCGTAATTATGGGCTTGTGCTGTGCGTCAGACACACGAACTTGTGTTTGGTGACACTACAATAATGAACACACCAAACCTAGTCCGTGAGTTTAGATTTGGGGATCGATTCTTGTTGGATGGGACCCTGGGAGTGTGAACTGGGCCAGACCAGGCCTTGGATGAGTTCTGATTTTTGGAAGCTGTCTGGGTGTGCATTCCAGTTGGACAGGGGAGGCTAGATATGAGCTCAAATGGACAGAATTCAGGGTCTCCAGGCTGGAGGAGGGTTATCTGGTTGGGTGTGGCCCTCGTTGTAATTCCACCCTCGGGCTTGGGTCCTGGTGTAGGTGCCCCTGGCAGGCCCCTCGCCAAAGGTCAACCCAGAGGCCTGGTCAATGTGGCAGTTTATCCTTAGCTCTAGACGCTACAGGTATCCCGTAACTACCTCTCCCTCCCCCTTCCCCATCCCCTGTCTACCTGAGCTTGAGAAGTGTTGGCCAAGTCGCAAGAACCTATCCCAGACTCTGGACGTTTCACTAGTCCATAAGCCTTTATTTGGAGAGGGACGCTTGTGGAGCTGTCCACAGCTCCTGTGCAGCACAGAGGCAGAGTTCTTAAAGCAGCCTCCCCTGAATGAGGAAGGGAGTGTAGAGTCTCCTCTGCCAATGCTAGTTAGGTGTGCCTGAGGCCAAAGCACCAAAGCTTGGTGGATAAGGTGCATAGTGCACGGGAGGGGTGTTCACATGTCTCAGGGCCACTATATAGGAGGTGAGTGGGGCCTGGAAGCTGAGTGGGCAGGTACAACTTAGTAAAAGCAGAAACCTGGACCTTGCATCTTGTCCCTCGACTCTTCATCCACTGTGGTATGACATCGAGGCAGTGGCTTTTCCTCTCTGAGCCTGTTTCCTTTTCTGTAGAATGGGGCAATAGTGTCTGCCTGGAGGGGAGATGGTTACTACTGACCCCAAGTCACCTGCTTCTACTGCTCAGGCCGAATGAGGCAGGTGGGGCACTGCCAAACATTGTCAGCAGGCTCCAGAACTATCTAGAATTTGTTAAATGAGGGGGTGAGAGTAGGAGGACGAGGGGTTTAGTCTCAGATTTTCTTGGGATTTGTCCAAAGCCAGAGGCCAGGTTCTCTCCTGTAGGCAGCAGGAAGAGACAGACCTGGAGGGGTGGGAAGGATGGGCTGGGTTTGGGCCCACTCGAACTAACCTGGGGGCAGGGTGTGTGTGTGTGTCTGTGTGTGTGTGTCTGTGTGTGTGTGCAGCTGTTGTTGCTTCTCCATGACTAGAGTCCTGGGAAGCTATGGGCTGGACTGGGGCCTTCGGGAGGACAAGCAGCCCACCAGCTACTTCTTTTGTGGCCCCTCAAGTCCAGGAGGCTGTGGTGTCAAAATAGCCCTGCCGCTCTGGAACAGACCTGGGGCCTTGGAGGGGACCAGACCTCTCCAACGGTTGGGGCAGGGCCATGGGAAGAGAAGCAGGGAGAGCACCAGGGAGCAGAGGGCACCACCGCATCCCCTCCAGCACTTTGCCCCGCCCTCTGGCCCCAGCACTATTTGAAGTGGGACAAGAAGTAGGCAACGGGATAGTGGGGCCCGTCGATGCCCAGGCCCTGGCAGAGGCCCAACAGGCGGAGACGGGCCTCGGCCGGGCTGGGCCCAGCACAGGCCACACTGCAGTAGGGCTCCTCGTATTCTCCAGGCACAAGGGTCTCCTCCAGCAGATTGAGACGCAGCAGGCCCTGGTCGTGAAGAGCCTGCAGGGTCTCGCGGCTGGCGGTGGAACTCAGCACCTGCAGGTGCTGGGACACCAGGCACATGACACCCACCAGGTGGCCACGGGCGCGTGGGTGGGCAGGCAAGGCAGGCCGCAGGCCGCAGGCCACCATAGCAGCAGCGAGCAGCAGGTCCACACCATAAAGCTCCAGGATCCAGTCTCGCAGGTAGAAGCCACCCATGCGGGGGTTGATCTCGATGAGCCGCGGCCCAGCCCTAGTCAGCTTGAGCTCCACGTTGAAGACCCCATCCAGCAGCCCGCAGCCCAGGCAACAGCGGAAGGCTGCCTGCACTAGCTGCGCCTCCTGCTCCGGTGCCAGCCCAGTGGGCATGCAGGCCGCTGTCTCAGTGAAGCCAGGCAGCCGTGTGGGGCCATTGTCGGAGACGAAGGCAGCCAGCAGTCTCCCCCCAAACAACACCAGATCCACATCGTGCTCGGTGCCCTCGATGAACTCCATCAGCAGCATGGCATTGCCCCAGCCCAGACCGATGCCGGGGTGGTCGGCCTCGCCCTGCAGGTCTCGGGCGATCCGGGAAAAGTGCTCATGGCACTGCGACGCGTCCTCCACCAGCCGTACACCCACTGCACCCGCCCCAAACTCCAGCTTCATGACACCTGGCAGGGGCACCTGGCGGACAGCCCTGTCCACGTCGGCCTCGCTCTCCAATGGGCAGCAGGGCACAGCATAGAGGGAGGGCGCGGGCCAGGGTGGGCCATGGTGGCACAACAAGTGCAGCTGGGTGCGGCTCTTCTGCTTAGCCAGGTGCATGGCGGCTGGCGGGTTGCAGGGCAGACCCAGCTCCTGGCAGAGCAAGGACGTGAGCACCAGGCAGTCATCCCAGTAGGAAAAGCAGCCGTCTAGCTGCAGACCGCGTGCCCGCACCAGCTCCGCCAGCACCCGTGCGTTCTCCTCATCCCTCTGGTGCTCTGTTATGTTGAAGTGGATGAAGGTCTGCACCAGCTGGGACGCAAAGTGGTTGGGGTCTGAGTCCACCAGGTGCAGCTGCAGAAACCACAGGGCGGCAACACACCGAGATCAGCTTGTGCTGGGCGCTGGGCAATAGGATGGGGCCTAGAACATGGTCCTGGCCCTCAGGGGAGACAGCTTCACCAGTGCTACGCGCTCAAAACATATTTGTTGATGATTGAGTAGAAGGTACAGAGGTGGGACACCTAATCCAGCCAAGAGGGTAGGGAAGGCAACCTAGAGGAGGCAGTGCTTGACCTGGGAGCTCGGTAAGGTTTAGCCAGAGGAAAGATGGCTGCAGGAGGAGGGGCGGGTGTCATCTAGATGGGAGGGGTGGCAGAGAGGGCTGGCGGAATCTTTCCCACTGGCAGGCTCAGTCTGGCCAGGGTTTGTAGGGAACCACCAGGGTTCGTAGGGAAACCACCAGGGTTCGTAGGGAAACCACCAGGGTTAGGGCTTGGGACTGCTGGTCTGGTGTCCCGAGTGGCCTTTTACTCCTAGCAGGGACAAAATTCAACTAGGGGCGGGAAAAAGTTGAGACTCCTAACCTGGACGGGGCGACAGGCCCCGCCCCTACGCTTGGGCTCCAGGCCCCGCCATTACGCTTGGGCTCCAGGCCCCCGGCTAGATCGCCGCGCGCAGGCCCCGCCCCAAGGCCAACACCGCCCCTGGCCCCGCCCCGGGCCCTGCCTCCACCACTCAGGCCAGAACTTTGAGCCCCGCCCCGCCCCGCCCCGCCCACCTTGAGCCCGTAGTCGCGCGCCGCCTCCCACACGAACTTCTTGCTGACACCGCCCGCGCCGAGCAGCAGCAGCTGTTTTCCCTCCATGAGGCAGCGCGCCGAGCGCCGCAGCATCGTCTCCACCAGCGGCGCGGCCGCCGCCTCCTCGGCCGCCAGCCCCGGGCGCGGCGCGGCCCACAGCCCTTCGAGCGCGCCGCACGCCTCCAGACACAGGCCTCCGTTCAGCTCCAGGGCCACGGGGGTCAGCGCGCGGCCGGCCACCGTCAGGGCGAAGTCCACCCCTGGGCCGGGCAGGGGGCGCGGGCTCAATGCGGGCCGCCTTCGGGCCTCGGGCCCCTCTCCTCCCGTCCCCGTCCCGGGCGGCCTGCACTCACCAAGGAAGTCAGTGCGGACCTGGCGCCCGCCGCGCTGCTCAGCGCTCAGGCCGGCCTCCAGGGTCAGCACGGCGGCTAGCGCGGCCTCGGCCGCCGCCTTGACGCGCTGCCGCACGACTGCCACCTGCGAAGCCTCACCCAGGCCGCACTGGGCCAGCGCCGCCTCCAGCGTCCGTGGCAAGGAGCTCTGGTGCCGCAGAGGCCGGTCCCCACGGCCCACGCTGCACACCACCTGGGCAAGGTGCGGCTCAGGGGGCTGGTCCAGGAGGAGTCCGCCCGGGACTATCCCCGGCCCCAGCACACCTTCCCCTATGCCACGATCCAGGCCACAGCCCTCACTGGACATTCAAGTCCTGTCCTCCAATGTGACTTACACTGCCCGTCTGGTCCCCCTGGGGGGACTCTACCCAGGCTTCCAGGCCCAGCTGGGGCCTCTGCTCCCTAAGGGCTCTAAGCATGCTTGTCTCTAGTGCCTACAGCCCTGGGGCCTGTCCCACCCTGGTGGGCTTAGCCCTAGAGCTCCCTGAGGGCAAGGTTGAGTCTCTCCCTCTCAGCTTGGCCCAGAGCTGTGTACCTAGGAGGGTCCCTAAGCCTCTCTCCTAAAGGGCTCCAGGCCCTGGAGGTTTGTCAGGTACCCTGGGTCAGCCTCTTCTGTGGGGAAGAGCTCTCTGGGAAGAGGTTTCAGCCCTGGGCCCTGGTACCCAGCATGGGATACCAAGTAGGGCTCCGGATGTGGGAGGAGCACAGGAAGGGTTGGAGAGGAGGGAAAGTGTCAGACGAAGTCCTCCCAGAGGCAACCAAAATCCTCCACCGCCCCCCCCCCCAAGATTTTGTCCTCTCTCTGCCCAGGGGCCGTCATCAGCTCAGTGGAACTGGGCTGGGGTGTGGCAGCAGGGGCATGACCTGGACCTGAGCCATGCTCACCTTGCTCAGCAGGGGCCTGTCACCCTGTGTCCGACAGACCACAGCACAGATACGCAGAGCCAGCTCAGGGCCAGGCAGGGGGCTGCCTGGGGGAAGACGGTGAGGCCTGAGCACAGAGCAGCCAGGAGGCCGAGCCATGCTCTCCCTCTGGCTGGCACAGGTGGCTCTCACCTGGGAAGGGCAGCTGGGCAGGTGGGCATACAGCCTCCACCAAGACACTCTCCTCCTCCTCTAGTTTCTCCAGCAATGCCAGCACTGTGTCCACCACTGGGCCCAGCTCAGCTCGGGGATACAGACGCATTGCCTGCCGCCCCCTCCAGCGCCAGCCACTGAGCTTCATGGCTACCTGCAACAGGCAGGGGAAGGGGGCCTCCTCAACCACCCCACGTACATGCAGGGTGGGACGCTCATACCACAGGAGCTAATGAGTAAACTGAGGTAAGAAGGCAGGGGATTACCACAGAGATGGGGCAGTGGTAGGGCTCAAAGTTGGGGACCGCTTCCCAGCAGGACCCGGTAACCCTCCACGGGTCCCCTCCTGCTGGCCTCTGCACAACCTCGGGGGCAGAGCCTGTTACCTGCAGGGCATCACCCAGGGCCTCAGAGTGCAGAAAAGCCCCTACTTCCTCCTTCACCAGTGTCTCTTGGCCCTCTTTGCCATTCAGCTCCACCAGCCGTAGTCCCGGGCTGGCATCCCCTCCCCTCAGCAGTGCCGGCGGCTTGTAGGTGAAAGCCAGGGTAGCTGGTACAGACACGTCACCCTGCCGAGCTAGCAATCGCCTCGTCAGCAGCCGGTCCTCCAGCAGCCGGGCCAGCTCGGCTGAGGCTCCTGTGGGGCAGGTCAGGTCGCGAGCGAGCTCAGCTGCCTCTCGACCCCGGCCAGGCCCCAGCCCCAGGCCCGCCAGGAAGTAGGTGGCACGGCGAGGGGGGACAAAATCGTCCAGGAATGTCAGGCCCCCCGGGTGGAAGCTCACGGCCTTGGAGACCAGCAGGGCTGCCTCGCCCGGCTGCCCTGGTGCTGGCACCTTTGTCAGCCAAGCAGGGGACAGGCAAAGGAGCATGTTTCCTGTGGGCAGAGGGAGGAGGGTTGCTGGCCAGGGAGGGCTTAATGCCCCCATGCCCTCCACCTCCAGCCTGGGCCCCTGGGTAGTCGGGGGCAGCTGCTCCCAGAACCCACCCCCACTCGGAGTAGGGCAGCTGGCCCGGTGGAATGCAGGCAGTTGCCAGAGTTGGCGGGTATTTTGGGATGTGGCCGGGCCAGGGCAGGGCTGCCCTTTCTGCAGGAGGGGGTGGGGGAACTTGGGCACACACTCACCCGGGCTCTGAACCCCACCCTCCAGCAGCAGAGACAGAAAGGTGCTGGGGGATCCCAGAATGCACAAGGTCACCTCCGCCCCAGGACAGCCTTGAGGAAGAGAACGTTGCCAAGCTCACCAGGGGCTCCCCTTGCTCTCTTTCCGCCCACCTTTCCCCACCCCCATAGCCCTGCCCTCACCCTTGGACCCCCAGGTCCTCCCGGGGTATCGGACGAGAAAAGTAAAGGGGACAGAGGAAGCTGGAGAGCGAAGGGGAAGCTGCCTGCCCGCCTAGCCCTCTGAGACTAGCTCCCTCCCTCTGCAGCTGGCCCAGAAGGCACTGGAGGCTGGGTGACTGGAGACGTGGGCTCTAGCCTGAGCTCTGCCACTGACTTTCTGTGTGACCCTTGGTCCCTGTGCGGTGGGGGGAGGAGTCTCTGCACCTCAGTTTCCCAGTCTGTACAATGGGGCCCAGTCTGTGATGTTCACGCACTCTAGCTGTAAGCCCTCTGTCCACACAAAATCTTTTGTGGCTGCCTGATACATAAAACAGATAAAGCAGAGGAGTCCTGGGTCCCAGCTGCTAGCTGCCTCCACAGCAGCTGCCAAGACACTTCTGTAGAAGCTCTGGCTCCACAGAACATGGATTGCAAATCCCAGGGCTGGATTTTCTGGGGGGGGGGGAGGGAAGCCGTGGTCTCTGACTTTACTGGTGCTAGATGCCCTTTGAAATGCCTGCCTTCCAGAGGTTGACTGGCCTTGTCTCCCTGGCTTCAGACCAAGCCAGAGCCTAGGGGAAGGGGCCGACCTTGACAGGGATGGGAAGCAGGCTGGGCTGAGGGTGCCTCCCTCCTCCTAGGGGTGGCCCCTCCCCCCCAGGGGTGCCCCCCTCCATGGAGCCCTCGGGCACCTGTGCGGGGCACCTGGCTGCGGTCTTGGGTCTCCGGAAGGCCAGCTTGCTGCAGACAGCTCTGCAGGAGACTGTAGTAGTAGACAGTCCAGGCCCGGGCCTCCGCCCCCTCGGGGGAGCCCTTGCAGTCCAGGGCCACGTCATGGTGCCAGGAACCATGGAAGCAGCCTGGGGGTGGCAGGCCAGAGCCCCCACCCCATGGGCCCTCCTCTTCTTCCAGGTCCTTGGAGCCCAGGGGGGAGTCACACTCGGGACCCAGCGGATCCAGGGACAGCTGAGGGAGGCAGAAGTGGTGGGTCTTGGGCAAGGTGGGCAAGGGGCATATTAAGTCACCCAAGGGTGTAAGTCCCCCACTCTCCTAACCTTGGGCAGACACTGTCCTAGGAACAAAAGAGGTTGGGTTGGGTTGGGGGATGAAGGCCTGTCACCAGGAACATGTAAGTGGGAGTGCTTTGTAAACTGTATGTGCAGTGCCCCAGCGGGTGGGAGCAGAAAGCAATGCACTGCTGGCTGGATCACTGCCCCCTCATCCCACGCCCAGGTCTGCCCCAGCTTGGTTCAGAGGGGCAGAGGTTTTTTGCCGGTTTTGTTTATCAAGGCAGCCCTGGGACCTAAAACAGCCCTGGCACGCTGTAGCTGCTCAATGCTTGATGACTGAAGAATAAGTGAACGAATGAACCAAGCAATCTCTCTTGGGCTGCTCTCTTTTCTCTGGCCTCAGTGAGCCAGGTACCACCGTGGAGTTCTGCTGAGACCTAAATATGTGGGTGAAGCTGGTCCACGGTCATCTCCAAGTAGCTGGAGAATCTACCATACGCCCAGTCCTGGGCCAGGCATCAGTAAGGAAGAAGCTGTTGCCCTTCTTTTCAGATGTTCTGAGTCATGGAAATGCTCACTTTAGATGAAATCTTACACCCTGCCCCTCTCTGAGGCTGGCTGACTCCCAAATGAGGCTGCTCAGAAGCTCACTGTGAACACACGTGCAGACACAGCTAGGCCTGTCCTCCGGGGGACAGGCTGGGCCTCCTTGGACAAGTCGTGAGGTTTCTTTGGGACTTGTGGGTGCCTGGTGCCTGCCCTGTCCCCCCCCGGGGTACTGATGAGGCTCGGACCTAGAGAATCGCCATGGTCATTGCGAGACAGCATACTGCAGGCAGCCGGGAGGGCAGAGGTCTGGGCCTCAGACCTGGCCTGGAATCCCGGTTCGCCGGTGCCAAATTCTGAGGCTTGGTGCCCTTTCTTAGGAGCTGAGTCCCCTAAGAGCCCAGAATGGGTTCACTGCTATGTTCCCAAACTTAGAATGGGGCAGGGCGCATGGTAATAATAAGTTGCAGGTTGAATGAATGCCAAAGGGGACCAAGAGTGCCCGCCTCCCAGAGCTGATGGGGGAGAGAGGCAGCGCCTGGCACACAGCAGCTGTTTGTCCCATGGCACAGAGTGGGCGTCAAGGGGTGGGTGCGCAGCTGGTCACGGGTCTGTCCGCACAGGCAGCCCCAGGGCTAGGCTTCTACGCGCCCGATGCCGCCCTCCGGGCCCTCCCTCTGATTAGGGTCTTGGGCTTTGGTGGGGAGGGACCAGAGGAGACTCACCATCTCACAGGTGGAGAGGCTGAGAGACTGATGGAAGAGACTGACAGAGAGAGACAGAGGAGGGAGTCAGGGCGGTCGGATCTCTACTGCAGAGCCCAGCCCCTAAGACTCTGGGTCAGAGGTGGCCGCGACCGCGCGCGGCTCTCCTGTCCCAGCCAGGAGGTGTCCAAGGCTGCCCCACCCCCACCCCAAGGAAGCAGAGGGATTGCTGACGCCCGGACCCCATAGGGCCCGCACCCCAAGCTCACACATCCCAAGCTGCCCGGGGCAGGGCCGGGGGTCCTGGCGCTCAGCCCTTCCAGCGGGGGTCGCGCCGGGTCCCGGCGCGTGTGTGCGCGCGTCTGGGAGGGGTGTGCAGGCGGTGTCGCGGGTCCCGCTGGGGGGCGCGGGCGCTCAAGGTCCCGTCCCCGCGGCCCCTGCCCCGCAGCCCCCTCCCTGGCTCTCCCCGGGGCGCGGGCAGCAGCCGGGGTACCTGGCGGGCGGCAGCGGCTCGGCGGGGCTCTGCCGGGCTCGGCGGGCGGCGCGGACCCGGCGGGACTCGGCGGCGGCGGCACAGCGCCCGGCCGAGGCGGCGCCGCTTTATATAGAAGCGCCCGGGGCATGCCCAGTGCCAGGCGCGGGGCGGCGCGGGGCGAAGTGGCCCGGCCCCACCGTCCTCCAGCCGGGGGACCCGGCAAAACCTCCGCCACCCATCCTGAACCTGGGGTCCTGGGGGTGGGCGGGCCCGACCCTGCCAGAGGCAAGGCGCCGGGGGCCCAGGGAGAGACAAACAGAGAGACAGGCAGAGGGACAGACAGGAGACCTTCGGAGACAGTAAGTCGAACAGTGGGCCAGGTTCTAACGGATAGCGATCGTCAGAAAGGGTCACAGACTAAGGGGCCGCGGTAAAGAAAAGACAGAGGACAGAGGGGGATAAATAGAGAGAGACCCATAATGGAAGAGAGATGGAAAGAGAATAGAGGGGGAGGGGAAAGCTGGAGCCGGCAGAGACTGGTACCAGGGCTTGCCCTCAGGGCTGGGGTGGCCAGGAGAGCGGCTGGAGCACACAGTCCGGAGCCCTAACCTTGGATGGAGTCCTGAGCTCCCCAGCACCCGGGGCCGCAGCTGTCTGCCAAGGAGCACTGTGCCGTACGGCAGCAAGCACTCCCAGAAAGGCCTTCTTGAACAGGGGTCCCTGTATATCTGCGGGGTCCCCTCCTCATATCTCCCAGCCCCTCCAGAGTAGTGGCCACTAGGTAAGACGCCCCCCACAAGGGCAGTCCCAGTTCCCTGGGATACCCTCTGCCCTGCTGGGGGCCAAGAGGGAAGAGGGTGGCCAGGCTGGGAGTTCCAGTGGGTCTGAGCACAGCAAAGGAAGGGGCTTGTCTACACGATCTGCCCTGCCCATCAACACCCAGGTCAGCTGGACATCCACAGTTATACCCACAATCTCCCCAAAACGCACATCCTTACCCCCAGGTGCACCCATCCAAACACCCACAAAAGCACACCTCAAGAGACCTGGATCACAGCCACATATTCACCCCAAGAAACACACCCAGAGATTCATACCCTCGCAAGTGTTGTCCCACTAGGTGGATTCCGATCCTAGATCCAGCTGTCGGGCCTGGGCACCTCCCCTTCCTGTCTGACTGAACCTCCCTCTCCTCCTGACTTAAATGGGTCTAGTTACCATCTCATAGGACTGCGATGAAGATTATCACAGCAGCCTGAGCCCAGCACGTGTAGGCTGTTGTTGCAATTCTCCCACCTCACCCCCGCAAACTCAGACCCTCTCTCCAGGGACACCCCCCCGACTGTTCCCTAGAGCCTCCTGGGCTGGGGGAGGGTACTGACGTACTGACGGCCCCGCAGCACTTGTGGAGGCAAAGGTGGCTGCTTTGGCCCCTTTCTACAACCGTACACAGAGCAGCCTGTGAGGAACCACCCTGTCTACCAGTGGAGGGACTCAGAGAGGAGAAGTGACTTACCTGGGGCCCCCCAGCCCAGCCCACATTCCCCACACAGCTTTCCAGGGCTGCTCTGGGCTCCCCAGCGCCAGATCCACACTCCACTCCTCCCTGTGGCCAGCCCAGCCTCCTGGAATGAGGTGTGGCCACCCAAGAAGATCCATCCTCTTGCTGAGGGGGTAACCTGAGCTCCAGGGAGATACACGGGAGGGAGCAGGGTTGGGGCATGGATGTCACCAAAGAGCATGAGATCTGATACTTAACAAATATTAAAAACCAAAACCCAACAGAGTAAATTTTAAAGATCTTATTGGCTTTATCCAGCGGTTCATGAATCGGGCAGCATCCCGTCTAGCAGACAGAAAGGAGCTACAAGAAGTTGTGTAAAATGCAAGACTTTTATAGGCAGAAGGGAGCAGACACAAAGAAGTTACACTTAGGCAAAAAAGTGGGTTGGTTATTGCAAGATCACTTTCTTTTAGGCAGTAGCAGGGGTCTATCAGGCAGATGAACCTGCTAGTGCTGGTCAGGCAATTCCTGATTGACTGGTTTAAGATACAATTTCCAGGAGAGCTGAAACTCTAATCAAGTTATCTCGGTTTGGTGACATGGGGCTTAGCATAAGTGACTCCACCTTGGGCCTGCTGTCTTGTTTTTTGCTTTTTTTTTTTTTTAACTCTTTTTAAAATTATTTATTTATTTATTTATGTTGGCTGCACTGCCTTAGTTGTGGCATGCGGGATGTTCAGTTGCGGCATGTGGGATCTTTAGTTGTGGCATGTGGACTCTTAGTTGTGGCATGCATTCGGAATCTGTTTCCCGAACCAGGGATTGAACCTGGGTCCCTGCATTGGGAGCGCAGAGTCTTACCCACTGGACCTCCAGGGAAGTCCCTGCTGTCTTGTTTTTAACCCAAGCAGTGTAGCATCTGTGGACTCAGTTTTCTCATCCTCAAATGGGGATTATAGTGCATACTTTAGCCCAGGCTTGGCTGGACAGGGGGCACCTGGCAGAAGGTAGCAGTGCCAGCAAACGGTTTTGTTTTCCTGGTTTTTTTTGTTTTGTTTTGTTTTGTTTGCGGTACGCGGGCCTCTCAGTGCTGTGGCCTCTCCCGTTGTGGAGCACAGGCTCCGGACGCGCAGGCACAGCGGCCATGGCTCACGGGCCCAGCCGCTCCGCGGCACATGGGATCCACGCGGACCGGGGCACGAACCCGTGTCCGCTGCGTCGGCAGGCGGACTCTCAACCACTGCGCCACCAGGGAAGCCCCAGCGAATGTTTTTTGACTTGTCCCAGGCACTGTACAGAGGACTTTATGTGCCATATCTCACTTAACCCTGTTGGGTAGCAGTTATGAGTCTCTGCCTTTTGCAGATGAGGCAATGGAGGCTCAGAGAGGTGATGTGATTTGCCCAAGGTCACACGGCTGGTGAGAGGCAGGGCTGGGGTCTTCCCTCTGCCAGAGTGTGTGTATACATGCACACAGAGCAGTGTGGTTCTGTGCCCGCTCCCAGACTGCCCTGGCTGGGCACCGGCTGTGATGGCGTTTGCCTTGTGGACGCAGGGAGGAAAATCAGGGTTGGGCAACTGCAGCTCAGCCCAGGGCCCTGGGAGCTGGGGCAAGCAGGCTGGCAGGGCAGTCTTGCTCTGTTTGTGCCAGGAGAGCCTGGAGGTCACCTGAGGCTGAGCTGGGCCAGGTAGGCGTGGGGTGACGAGAGGCAATCCCTGGGTGACTGCCCAGCTTGACTAAACAATAACCATCATAGAAATGAGACAGGTAGAGTGCTCTTGGGACTAGGGTGGGAGCTGTTATTATCCTATTATCTGTAGGAGGAGACTGAGGTTCAGAGAGAGTGAGAAGGCCATTCCCATGCAGGGACTTTGCAGGGAGTCCAAGCCTGGCCTCCGGACAGTGTGGGATGGGGGGACTTATGGGGAGGGTGGCAGTCTAGATGGAGACCATGGCCCCCCACACGGGGGTCCATTTGCCCTTCCACTTCTTTGCTTGACCCCCACTCCTGTCCCCTGGGCTGACCCCGGCCGATGGACATCGCTGGGTGCCATCCCAGCTTTGGTCCCCACAGGCTGAGTACTCTCAGATGCGTGCCTCGCCTTCTCTGAGCCCCTTTCCAGGCAGGTCTGTAGGGAGCTGGGGCTGCTAGGTTCACTGAGTGTGGTTGTGCAGGTTGCTCACTGCACAAAGGTACCCTGCTGAGTGGTCACTTCCCTTCTGTCCTGCAAGGGATGCATGTACCTGGGGGAGGGGCATCTTCTCCCAACTAGTACACAGGAGCCATAGGGGGCTAGCGCAGCCCTGTGGGAACAGCGTGTGTAAAAAAGCGTTCTGACAAGGAGGGAGCTGGTGCTCTTTTGGTCTGACCCCTTGGCTCAGGCTTCCCAGATGGATGGTTGATAACGGGACCTGCAGAAGGACTGCCCAGAAAATGCTTCCCTCAGTAGATAAGGCAGTGACTCAGCCCCAGCTAGAGAGGCCCCTGCTGGAGACCACCTGCCCCAGGGTCTATATCCAGGCGGAACGACTACCACGTGGCCTCTCCTTCAGACTCAGCAGCCCTGGTGCCAAGGCTGCTGCTTTCCTGCTCCTCTACCTTCGCAGCAGAAGAGCTGAGCGCACGGAGGGCAGGGAGTGCAGGGCAAATCCCATAAACTTCCTGCAGGTTCCCCCACCTACCTGCTCCCAGCAGAGAGTCCATGAGACACCCGCCCTAAGTCTAAGGCGTGGTCTAGCTCGCTCTGCCCCCCACTGTGATCCTGGGCTGGGCGCTCAACCTGGCCATCTCCCCCTTCTCTAAAGAGGCTCTCAGTGCCACCTGCAGAGAGAGGGTGTGGGGGTCTGAGAAAGGGTCCGTGAACTGCAGGGGACTGTGGTATTATTAAGCTCCAAGTACGCCAGTGGGGAGGGGAGTGGGGAGGGAGAGCTCAGGAAGCTCTCTTTAATTCACAGGAGCCCAGCCCCTGGCCCACACTCAGAACCCAGGCTGGGGCGAGACTGGGGCAGTGGGAGAGAGAGTAGCCCCAGGATGGCAGAGGGAGGTGGGTGTCAGGTTCGTGGCTGTTGATGCGAGGGTAGCGGTGAACCTTGGGTCTGCCCTGGGCAGCAAAGCTTTGGCCCAGTTGCCTCCCCTCCTGAGCCTTAGTTTCCCCCCAGGTAAACTTCAGCTCTGGACCTCCGTGAGTCCCTCCTTCAGGGAGTGGGATGGTCTGCCCAGGACCCAGGGCCTGGCCAGTCACACAGTCAGCGCCACAAGAGTATATGTGGAGGGAGCGTGTTCCTGCAGCCGTGGCCCTGTCACTAGATCTGAGGGTGCCAACACTCCAGCTCAGCCACTGAGAAGGATGGATCAAACACTCCACCATTGCGACTTCCCTGGCGGTCCAGTGGTTAAGACTCCGCGCCTCCACTGCAGGAGGCTCGGGTTGGATCACTGGTCAGGGAACTAAGAACCCACTCCACCATTTAAGTGGGACTGCAGACACTTTCTCCGGGTACTCCCCCTCCTCCTCCCCCGTTCAGGGGAGGGCACCCAAGGAAGCAGGGAGGCAGGGCACTGGGAATGGGCCCTGCAGGAACATAAGCCTACGTCAGAACCAGCCCCGTTGTCCTGGCGATGGCTCCTGTCCCAGGCACCTCAGGCACCCACGGGGGCAATTAGCGAGTGTGGGAGGGGTTTCCACAGTGGCAGTCCCCAGGGGGTGCGGCTGGGGCTTAGGCAGGGGGCAAGGGCTGGCGGGCCCTTCCTCCTTTGTCCGGGCACACTAGGCCTTTGTTCTCAGCTGGCTCTCTCTGAGGATGGGACCAGGACCATGGGTGGGGGGCGAACTTGCCTTAGAGTGCCCACAGCCCTGGGGGGAATCCTGAACCAGCAGGGAGAGGGAGCAGAAGAGGGGACAGAGTCCCACTTCTGGGCCCAGCATCCACTTGGGGAGCCCTCCTCCCCCAGGTGCAGAAGCCTTCCCTGACCCCAAGAGGCTGGGCACTGCAGCTTACCATTGGCTCCTGGTGCTGGTGAAGACCTTCCAGCAGCCAACGGGCAGCCTCAGTGAGCCCTGAGGAGCCAGGGCTGGGCTCGGAGGGGTGGGGCTGTGAGGGGAGTGAGGGCCGGAGGGGAAGGAGCTGCTGGTCCGGGGTTGAGGCTGGAAGGCGTTCCATCTGACTGCATACGGGCTTCTGCTCAGACTTTATTCCAGGCCTCCCCAGGAGCCTTGGGGTCCCCTAAGCCCAGCCTGTGCCCCTAACCTCACCCTCCTTCAGCGCCAGCGTGATGCTTGCAAGGGCCCAGGTGCCAGGACAGCTCCGTGGGCGGATGGTGGGCCTGGGTCCTCAAAACCTCACTCTCTCACCTTCCCTCATCCTCGAGCCTGACACAGTCCACGGGAAAGAAGCTGAGGCACCCATCCCAGCTGTAAAGTGTGGTGCCTACTTGGAGGCTGGCATCCACCGTTCAGGCAATTGGGGTTGGGGGACCCTGAGTCTCTGGTACCCTCAGAAGTGGGACCTTCAGAATCGGGTGTCCAGGGAGGAGGTGGAGCCTCGATGGGACCTGGCGGGGCTCTCGATACGGGGGGCCCTGGACCGAGTCAGCAGCCCATGGAAAGTCTTGCCTCGGGTCTGGGGCTTGCGCCGCGGCGGCCTGGGCTCCTCCGGGGGCTGAACCACGATGCGGGGTACCTCGGGCCTGGTGGCTCCCCGAGTTCCTGCCAGCTGCTGGGCCTCAAAGATGGCTTGGGCCCCAGGCAGGCGGGCCTGCGGCCTCGGGGGTGGCCCAGATGCCGACGCGGGCAGCTGGACCAGCTGGGCCTTGATCTCCCGCTGCAAGTCCTGTTCGGACAGGGCCACGCTGTGCACCTGTGGGGAGCAGTTGATACTGAATCTGCCTGGCCTGGGGGAGGGCAGGAAGCGATGAGAGCCCTGTGGGGCGGGCAGGACACAGCCGCAGGAAGTGGCTGAGGGCTGAGGGGCTGACAGACAAAGAGACTAAAGGAGCCACCGAAAGCCACTTGAGGCCTGGGGTTTCCACATTCTCTGCTGCTGAGAGGACAAGAACTGAGCCCCGGTTCTTACTCTGACTTCCCCCTCTGGGACTCAGTTTCCGCAATTGTGCAGGGGGGCTGGGCCATTGCAGAGGGCGGGCAAGGGGCACCCACCTGGGGCATGAAGACCTCCTCCTGCAGCTGGGTGGGCGGGATGGCTCGAAGGGCGCCGAGCGTCTCCAGGAGCCCCGGGCAGGCCAGGCGCTGTTCAGTGGTGCCCAGTGCCAGGCGTACCAGTGTCAGCCCCACGCGGAACAGCACCTTCACACCTGCAGGCCGGGGGCTCACTCAGTTGGGGGGCCAGCCCTGGGCTTCCTCAGTCTGCACCTGAACCTGCCCTCAGCCAGACTCCTTCCACCCTCCTGCAGCTCTGCTGCCGTGACTCAATGACTGAGAGCACGGTGGCAATCTGAGAGCTCTGGCCAGCATGTCTCAGCGGCCACAGACACTTCTGGGCAGAGCAGCCTGCCAGGAGCCAGGGGCTACTGAACGCCTCACGCCAAGCCTTCTCATTCTGGGCCTCAGCTCCTCGTCCCTCCAAGGAGGGGCTGGGTGGTGACGTGAAGGCCTTTCCAGCTCAGACCTGTGACCTTCTGATTCTAGAAAGATTCTAGCCAGAACTCCTCACCTCTAAGCCAAGAGCATAGGACACACATGCACACAAACACGCACACACACACGCACACACGGGTGTGACCTTGGGCCTGTTCCTGGAGCCGCAGAATTCCTTCCTGGTAGCCTCGGGTCTGCTGAAAACAGCAGTCAGGGGACCAGCGAGGTCTGGTGACAACTGTGACTTGTGAAGGGACAGCAGCGACTACTAACGGTGTCACCGTTATGAAAGGGAGCCTGAGGCAGAGGGCAAGGGTAGCTCAGCCACCCTGACGGGGGGGCCCTGCCCTGCCCCGCCCTCGAGGTCTGAGTCTGCAGGGGAGGCCATGTAGATGGCAACTTGGACACCCGTGGCCAGAGCTCTAAGCCAGCCTGAAGCCAACTGGGCATACAGCAGGTGCTCAATAGATGTACTGATTGATTTCTACCATTTTTTGGTCCAACCACCCTGCTCTTGGCCTGGCACCTCTCCCATGTCCGCACCCCCACGTCAGTCGTCTGTAGCCTGGCCTCTCCGCCTCCACACTGGCCCTGCAAGTTTGCCTCTTCCATAGAGCAGCCACGAGCACCTTTAAACAGCACTCTCCTCCTGCCGCCCCCCTACACTCTGGCACATCCTTTGTTTTATTTTCTTCACAGAACTTCTGACAATCTATAAATATCTTGTTGATTTAGTACCGTCGCCTCCCATCCCCACTTCCACCAGAATGTAGGTCTCACTCACTCAAGTGGCCCTGGCTTCCAGAGCAGCGCTGGCCTCCGAGAGCGCTCACCAAGGGCCCATGGGGCTCCATCGGCCGTGCCCCCACTGTGCCCAGTCCCTGAGCTGTCTCACTGCTGTGATCTCTGCAGCGCCCCCCGACTCCAGCCCTCCCCCAAGCAGATGGTGCCCTCCCTGTGGTGGCCTCACTGCTGGGGGTGGGGGCTATCATTCATTACACTGGTGATCCGTGGCCAAGGGCTGGGCCGTTTCCCCAGAGCCACAGGGCGCTGTCACCCTCAGCACACCCCAGCACCCAGACCCCAGGCCAAGACTGGCAGTGGCGGTGGGGCAGAGCAGAGCTGGCACCCTCATCCCCTCTGCACACCAGGCACCCGAGGCTCCCGGCCCCAGTTCCCACGCCTGCCCCCGCCCACCTGGCCAGCCACACACTCACCCTCACTAAGGAAAGCGTCCCAGACACGCAGCACCGTGGGGAAGGGCAAGGAGCGGGCGAAGAGGCACAGGAACCACTCGGGCAGGTAGAGCAGGGGCCCGACGCCCACCTGTTGCAGGTGCTTGTGCACACGCGGGAGCAGCCGCCGCAGCAGGGCCGCGAACACCTCGGCGTCCAACCGTACACCCTCCTGTGGCCACGTCCGTCAGCATCTCCACTCCCGGTCCCCAGGCCCCCACCCAGTCCCCAGGCCCCTCCCCACCCCCCGCCCAGCCCCTCCCCCTGTACCCTCTGGCCCCATCCCAGCCTCTCACCATATGGGGCCCGTAGTAGCCAGGGAGGTAAACCTCGCAGATCTGTACCAGGCACCAGAAGGCCTCCTGGGGGCAGGCACAGGCCTTGAGTGCCCACCGCAGAGGGGACCACAGGGCGGGGGAAAGGGGTGCAGGGGAGGGTCTGGACACCATCTGGGGTGACTCTGGAGCCAGGAGCCTGGACTCAGTGCTGGGGCTGGTAAGGAGGGGCAGGTCTTACCGAAAAGCTTCCCGTTGCCCAGATAGAGGCCTACCAAGGGGCGTAGCGAGTTGGAAGTCACAGGGCTCAGGGGGTTGAATTTGAGGGTCACAGGGTAGGGGCTCACTGGTCAAAGCTAGGGAGGGTCCCAAAGTTCAAGTCTTGGGTTCTTGGGGTCACTGGGGTCAGGGATCATGGTCACAGGGTTCAGAATCAGAAGTCATGAGGTCAAGGTAATAACAACCAGACTCCTAGATCATTGGGGCAAATGTCAGGGCTCAGGGTTCCATGTTCCTGCAGTCAAGGTCGTTGGGTTTGAAGGTCGCTGAGGTTGGTGGTCATGAGGCCCTGGGTCACTCACTAGGACAGGTTTGGGTAGGAGTCAAGGATCCCAGGTCCCTGAGGCCAGAGTTCCTGGGGATGGAGGGGTCATGGGTCCAGAGCGCAGGGTTATTAGGTCCCTAGGTCACCAGCGTTGGGGGTCATGGATCACTGGGGTTAGGGGGTCAGGGTCTTGGGTCCCCGTAGCAGGGTTGAGGGTACTCACCTCTGGGGGCAGATACATGAGCAGCACGGCAGCCACAGGGCCCTGGGCCTGGCAGTAGCCCTGTTCCGGCCGATACAGGGTGTAGGCCTTGAGTACCTGGAGGAGCCCCTGCTGCCTGTGCCAGAAGACCCCGTTAGGGGCCAGTCCTCCGGGCATCCCTTCCCCACCCTCTGGCGGCCCTTGCCCAGGCCTCAGCCCCCTGAGGGCCTTGCTGGGTCCTTTGAGATGCAAAGATATAAAGCTGGGGCGGGGTGGGGGGGGGGTGGTACTAGGCCAAAGCACCTGGGGGTTGTGGGGCTGGGGGTCCCTGGGCATCACTGGCCTCGTACCCGTGACCCTGGGGTGACACAAACATCTCATGCAGAGGGAACTGGCGGTGCAGGTCCCTGCCGATGGTCTCCATCCACTGTGGGTCCCCAGGGGCCTCAGCCAGTTCCTGTGGGTGGACAAAAAGGTGAATGTGAAGGCCCAGAGTGGTGAAGGGCCAGGGAAGGGAGGTGGGACCCCTGCCAGTTCCCTCACCTGATAAGTGTCACAGCTGTTCTGCTGACACACATGGGCCCCACACAACAGCGGCCAGCACCGGGCCCGCAGGGCCGAGGGGATGCCTTTCCGGCACTGCATCTTTACCTGTGGGTGAGGCCAAGGGACCCCGTTAGGCCAGCCACACCAGCTTCCCCTGCTCCTGTCGGCAGGCCCCAAGCACAACCTGTCATCAGGCAAGAGCCACTTTGGGTAGCAGGGAGAAAAGGCAGGAGGTGCTGGGACACGGGAGGGGTGAATTTTGCCTGGGCATGGGCCGAGGCAAAGGGGCTGAGCCACGGAGGCCTGGGTGGGACCACTCTCCCCCTCACCTTCTTGTACCGCCGAGACATGGTTTTCTCCCAGTGTGAGGTCATCTCTACCCACTTCATCTCCCGCTGGCGGATAAGGTCTGCAGGAGGGTGACCTGGCCTGGGGACACATGGCACAGGTGTCCAGGCGCTGGGCAGCTGTTACCCAGAGCCCACATTTGCCACCCTTCATGCTACCTGGGTGAGCCTAACTCCTGGCCCTGGAGATCTCTGGGAATCTCTGGGGCGGGGTGGGGACCTGTCACCCAGGAGTTGCCAGTGGTTGTCATGGGGACAGGAAAGGATGTGGCTCCGATGTGGGTGGAAGCAGGAGAGACTGAAGGGGGTGTGTAGGTGTGTGTTGAGGGAGGGGCTTGTTGGCTGTCCCCCAGGATAGGGACACAGACAAGTCATCAGGGAAGTTGGGTAGACAGAGTCCTAGACTAGAAGCCAGGAGTTGTGAGTTTGGGTCTGATTCTGTCTCTGATCTGCTGTGTGACCTTCCTATCTGTTTCTGGACTTGTCTTCCTGTCTGTACATGAGGAATGCAGAGGACTGGTGGGAGAAGAAGTGTGGGTTCTGTGATCTGGATCTGGGATTCCCAGGCCAGATTAAAAGGGGAAGAATGTTTGGCCCCAGAGGTGGGTGGAAACCCTCAGAGACTGGGATTAAAAGAGACATACAGGAGCCACCCCCCGCAGCCCTGCTAACCTTAGGATTCCATCTGGAACCCGAGAAGGGATGATAGTGGCTGAGTCCCCAGACCCGCCCAGGACTCTCGAGGTTGAACCTCACTCTAGAATTCAGCCCTCAGCTCCCACCCTTATTCCCAGCACCCCACCGCCCTACCCCATCCCTTCCCTACTTACCCTGGCTCTGCTGAGCTGCCCCCAATGAAGCCATAGCGGTCAGCCTGGCGATATGGGCCGGGCCCATTCAGCTCTGAGTCAGACCCCAAAGAGCTGGAGTCATCCTGCAGCTCACCAGGCTGCACCAGGTCCTCCCCCAGGGCCTGGGCCATGGTGCTGCAGACGCCTGATGCCATAGGCTGCAACATGTGGGGAAAGCCAATGTGAGAGGCGGCTCCTAGCCAGCCTGGGGCCTGGGCTCCTATCCAGCCAGGCCCCAGCCCCAGGACCTGACTGCATGGTCAGAGGGAGCAGATTTCAGGGTATCTCTCCAAGCCCCTTCTGTCCCCTCTTCTCTTGTGGGGTGGGGGTGGAGCATGGGCCCAGAAGTGGCAGAAAGGCCAGGCCCCTGTCCCCTGCAGCCCAGCTTACCTCCTTGCTGCACCTCACCTCCTCCTCTCACTTCCTCCTCAGCCACAGCTTCGGCAACCAGCCGGGGGGCCCCTCCTAAGTGCGTGTGGGGGGGTAGTTACCCCTTCCTGTCCCGGGCTCTTCCGGCCTGCCCCACTGGCCCTGGGCCATGGGCTCCTCCCACCATCCCGGTGGGCTGGGTGGGTGCAGGCTTGGGTTCCTGTGCTGGGTGTGACGCGGCCAGGGCCTGCCAGAGGTAGAGAGGGCAGGCTGCCTCCAGATTTGAGGTCACTGGCATGTAAAACACTCGATTCAGGGTCCAACGAGTATCATGGTGTATTTAGTGTTTGCTCTTTACAAAGTAATACTTTCAACATGCACACAATGTAGCATTACTATGCTACTCAAAAGGCAAAGATGAGACATTACAAAAAGTAATAATTTAGCATGCACCACAGGCAGTGTGGACCAAAATGAGCTCGGAGTTCAGCAACAGGTGTCTGGATCTACCTAGCCAGTCGCCCGAGGGCCCCAGACTCAGGAGGTAGAGGTCCTCCGTGAATTTGAGGCTAACTCTTACTATCTCTGAGCCTCAGTTTCCTTTCCTGCACTTCAGGGGCTTAATCTGCACTGTTTGGGGAGACCCAATGAGTTACCAATGAGGTCACACAACCTTCCCGACCAGGACAGAAGTGGGAAAGACTGCTTAGCCCTTGAAAGAGAAAAACAACTTCCACAGTACTTCCGACCGCACCTCCTCCGAACAGCAGAGGGTAACTCCTCAAGGGCGGAGCTAGGCTTGACCTCGCCCCATGAAGCCCCGCCCACAGGGCAGGCTCCGCCCCAGACACACGAGTCAGTCCAAGTCCGGTCCCCTGACCGAGGCCCCGCCTCCCGGGCCGCCGCGACCCCTGCGCCCTGCGTCCGGCGGAGGCGCTAGAGCGCAGGGGCAGCGGGCGGGGCGGGGCGGGGCGGGGCGGGGCGGGGCAGGAGGCCAAGGAGGCGGGGCGGCGAGCCGGGGCGGGCGGAAGGAGCGCCAGGCCGGAAGGAGGCAGCGGGAGGGCGGGAGGCAGGAGCGGGCCCGGAGCTGCTGGGGCCAGAGCGGCGGCGCCGCCATGTCCGACAGCGAGAAGCTCAACCTGGACTCTATCATCGGGCGCCTGTTGGAAGGTTGGCCGGGGCAGGGGAGGTGGGCGCCGGCCGCGCCCTGGTCTCCTGCCCGGCCCGGAAGTGGCGCGCGGGTGGACTTGCCCCTCCCAGGACCAGCTTAGACTGGGCGGGGACGGGCCGCGAGGTCCCGTGGCCGCAGGTGCCCCCCCTTCCCAATCGCGGCGCCCCTGGGAGGTCTGGCGTTGCTCCCCTTGCCAGAGCAGGGCGGGGGCGCACGGGTTAGCCAGGGCTCTTGGGGTTAGAAAGAAATCCGAGAAGCCTAGCCCCCCCAAGCAAGGGGTCCTGTGTTCTGAGGTTTTGGCAGGCCTCCGCGCACAGCAATCCCCTTTTCGAGTGCCTTGAGGGTAGTTGGGGGTCTCGTCCCTTGAGGCTTGAGGCGGGGGTCCCAGGAGGCTGGGCAGCAACAGCTGCCCCTGGGCGAGGCGGGGCCCGGGAGGCCCAGGCGCCCCCCAGAAGTGCCTATGGGGCCACCCATGTCACCCACCCTCTTCTCGCCTGAGGGTCCTGATGCCTCATTCCACTCCCAGTGCAGGGCTCGCGGCCTGGAAAGAATGTACAGCTGACAGAGAACGAGATCCGTGGTCTGTGCCTCAAATCCCGGGAGATTTTCCTGAGCCAGCCCATTCTTCTGGAGCTGGAGGCACCCCTCAAGATCTGTGGTGAGCCCCCTGCCCAGGCCCCTTTGCTTCTTGAAGGTGGGTACCCCCCACCACCAGCCAAAGTCCCTGGATCTCTCCTCCCTTGAGTCCAACCCTGGCCCTGGGTCCAAGTTCAGACTGCATCTAGTGCTGACCTGGTTCTCTGGGTCACAGGCGACATTCATGGCCAGTACTACGACCTTCTGCGGCTGTTCGAGTACGGCGGCTTCCCTCCAGAGAGCAACTACCTGTTTCTGGGGGACTACGTGGACAGGGGCAAGCAGTCTTTGGAGACCATCTGCTTGCTGCTGGCCTATAAGATCAAGTACCCCGAGAACTTCTTCCTGCTCCGTGGGAACCACGAGTGTGCCAGCATCAACCGCATCTACGGCTTCTACGACGAGTGTGAGTAGCTGAGCCTCCGGGGCTGAAGGGCTCTCCCCCGCCATTCAGTGCGGCCCTCGTGTTGACCTGCTGGCCGGGGTAGCAGTGTTTGACAAACACCTGCTAGACTGAGCTCTGTGAAGGCAGGGCCAGTTCACATCTCTCCGCCCTGCCCTCCTGGCATGGGTCCTGGCGCTCAGGAGGGACGTGGTGAATGGTTGCTGACTGAAGGGCTGCCAGCATTCTAATGCAGGGCCTTGCCTGCCGACACTCCCCTCCAGTGCATCCGTTACTTAAGCACTTAGGATGCCTGTCTGGACTGGACTCTGTTGGCCAGAAGCTGAGAGAGACCAGACCCGGTCTTGGCCTGGCTCTGCTCATGTGCAGGGGGGTGAGTGCCAACCCTGAGGTTGTTCCAGAACTGGAACTTGGGGGTTCCTGTGGACTCAGCTGCTTTAGAATTCCTCCTGGGAGGCAGTGGGGTGGGGATTGGCCCGGGGCGGGGGGGGGTTCCCTTCTTGCCTTCCATTCTCTTCTGCCAGCTGTGTCTGAACAACACACAGTGTGCCCTGGAAGGCCCAGAGACCCACACTGAGGGTGGGGCAGACAGGCCTTCTCGTGAGCCTTCTCCTTCCTCTGGGCAGGCAAGAGACGCTACAACATCAAACTATGGAAAACCTTCACCGACTGCTTCAACTGCCTGCCTATTGCTGCCATTGTGGATGAAAAGATCTTCTGCTGTCACGGGGGTGAGGGCGGCTCTGGGCCGCATGGCGAGGGAATGTTTGGGCAGGACGAGCCTGGCCGCATCCCTGGGGGATTTGGGACAGAAGTGTTAGCTGAAGGACACATTCTCAGCCACCTGGAACAGCTCTCCCTGGAGCCCTGGTTTGGATATCACTTCTTCCACAAAGTCCCCCCCGCACCCCAGCATTAGGCTGCACTCGCTGTCATGTCGTGGCCTCGGTTTCTTGCGTGGAGTTTGCTTGTCTTTTTCCAGGGAGCGCTGTGCTCCTGGAAGGAACAGGGACTTGAAGAGGCAGAAGGCGATGAGCTCTGCCTGTCTAGGCTCCCAGGAATCCAGGAGAGGGCGGCGGGTTGGGGGAACAGAGGCTGATTGGCAAAGGCTTCCTGGAGAAGGGAGGGCCCTTGTTTTGAGGCTTGAGGAAGTGACCTGCCCCCGGTGCCCCCCAGGCCTGTCCCCGGACCTACAGTCCATGGAGCAGATCCGGCGTATCATGCGGCCTACAGACGTGCCAGACCAGGGCCTGCTGTGTGACCTGCTGTGGTCTGACCCTGACAAGGACGTGCAGGGCTGGGGCGAGAACGACCGTGGCGTCTCCTTTACCTTTGGAGCTGAGGTCGTGGCCAAGTTCCTGCACAAGCACGACCTGGATCTCATCTGCCGGGCACACCAGGTGGGCTGGCAGCTCTGGTCTGGGTGGCAGCGGGGGCCAGGCAGCAGCACCTGCCGAACTAACCGTCCCCACCCTCGTCCAGGTGGTAGAAGATGGCTATGAGTTCTTTGCCAAGAGGCAGCTGGTGACGCTCTTCTCAGCTCCTAACTACTGTGGCGAGTTTGACAACGCAGGCGCCATGATGAGCGTGGACGAGACGCTCATGTGCTCCTTCCAGGTGGGGGTGGAGATGGGGATGGAAGGGGTGGGGGGGGGCCCATGGCTCAGCCCCATGAGCCTGACCAGCTTGCCTCTTTTAGATCCTCAAGCCCGCCGACAAGAACAAGGGGAAATATGGGCAGTTCAGCGGCCTGAACCCTGGAGGCCGGCCCATCACCCCGCCCCGCAACTCCGCCAAAGCCAAGAAATAGCCCCCGTGTGCCCGCCCTCTGCCCCAGATGGTGGATTGTACAGAAATCACGTGGCTGTGAGGGTTCGTGCTGGCCCCCTAGGGCCGCCCATCACAGGGAACACGGAGCCTTGGTGTATTTTTCTTTTTTTTATGAATCAATAGCAGCGTCCAAACCCCCAGGGCTCCTTCCACCTGCACCTGCAGTGGCTGCAGGCAGGATCCTGGGGCTGAGGCTGCAGCTCAGGGCAGAGCAGGGCCAGATTGTGGGTCCCCAGCCTTGCTTGGCCTCAGGGCTGGCAGCCGGATCCTGGGGTGACCCATCTGGTCTCTCGAATAAAGGTCAAAGCTGGATTCTCGCCATGGCGTCTGTCTCCCTTGTCCCAAATGCCTCGCCTGGCGACCTCTTCTGCCTAGGGCCGCTTGGGAGGCTTGCTGGGCATGGGGCCCCGAGCGAGGGAAACACCAGCCACACGCTCAGGTCACAGGGGCCCTTGGAATTTCCAAGCCAGGGCCAGAGAGTTTTGGAAAAGCAAGCAAAACAGTGTGTGCCAGCCACAGGGGATCCCCGAGGTGTACCCAGGATCTGAGGGAGGGACAGGTCCTGGTTGGCAGAGAAGGTGGATCAGCAAGGGCCAGCAGCCCCACCGAGGTTTTTCTCTTAGGGAGGTGGGCTTAGAGAACGCAGGCCCCCAACCCTGCCACATGGTTGGATTAAGAGGTGAGGGGCCTCCCAGCAGGTGGCAGCTCGGCACCAAGACTGGGAACAGACATGATCGACTGGGGGCCAAAGGGAGATGACAGGACCCAGGCCAGTCACAGATAGCCGAGCAGGGCCTGGGGGAGGCGGCAGGACCAGCCAGCTGAGCTCCAGCACAGCCCACCTCTACCACCCACCCTGGAGGAGAGCTGGCCCCGCCCCTGGTTGGCGCTGGGAGATGGGGAGGCTGGGGCTTCCTCTGGTCCAGTCCTCCAAGGACCTCTCGGCTCAGCCTTCCCCCTCACTGTCTTCAGCCAGCACGGGGCTGGGACCCTGGGGAGAGTGTGCAGGGGCCAGGATGGAGCCAAAGAACAGCGAGCGGAACTGGCGAGAAAACAGAGGAAGCCAAGTGAGCTCTGGAGGCTGCTCCCTCCGCCTCCCATCCCTGCCTCCGTCTCCAGCCAGCTCCTACCTTCTTGGGTGGGGGAGTCCCAGGCACTGTGCTGGGCTCGGTGTCATCTTCCTCCTCTGAATGGGAGCCAGGGCTACAGTGGGGCTGGAAGCCAGGTGAAAGGGAGGTGGAGGGCAGTGTCCGTGAGCCCTCACTGCCCACGGTGGTTTCCATGGCGATCATGTAGGAGTCAATGTCATCAAGGGCAAAGTCGTCCAAGTGGGGCGTGCTGTAAGCAGAGACAGCTTAGCAAGGGCAGGGAGAGAAGAGGGGGAACAGAGGCAGGGCCCCACCTTGGAGGGCTCAGCAGGGGGCTGCAAAAGCCCTGTGACCGTTGGTGACCTCTTGGTTTTATTACTTCCTGATTTGGTGGGAGGGGAGAGGATGCCTGGGGTTAAGTGGCTGCTTCCTGGAGGGGGTGGACCTGGAATCCTTTCATCAGAGTTGAGGTAGAGGCCTGAGGGAGACATCTTGGGGGCCGGTTTAGCTCAGCTGGGGGAGGGGAGCAGCAAGTCCTGTAAGCTGGGCCACCTGGGGCCCAAGCCCGTACCTTCCCAGGGGACAGGAACCGGAGAGCACTGGGGCCCAGGGACATGCTGGGCAGAGGGCCAGGCCAAACTTCCTCTGCTTAAACTACACTGGGCCCATCCTCCCCAACCCACCTGCCCTTTCAGCCACCGGCTTCCCCAGTCCCAGGCAGCCCCCGGCTTCCCGGCAGCCCTTTCCCTCCTTGGCCTGGGAGGAGGCTCGGAGGGGAGGCCTCAGCCAGAGAAGGAAGCCAGCCCGACCCTGGGGACACTTCCCTGGGTCGGGGGAGTCTCTGAGTACAGCTGCCCGGTAAGGTTGAGCTTGCAGGGCTGGGGCCCAACAGGAAGTGGGGGGAGGGGAGGCGCTGACACTGGAAGCAGCAGGCTCCCCAGGGTGCACAGAGGTGGGGAGGGAGGAGTGGGTGGGCAGCGCTCTCACCTGTGAGCCTGAAGCTGAGGCGCTGGCTGCTGGAGCTCCGGGGCACGCAGGTCCTGGGGGTGCGGGTCCGGCTCTGAGAGCGTGGCCAGGACAAAGTGGCCGTCTAGCAGAGAGTCCCTGATGGCAAAGATGGCTGGCCTGGGCAGGTGACGGGTCCAGGCAAGGTCAAGGCCCTTTAGCTCCTGGCATCCCAGATCCCTCCCCACCCTGTCCTGAGGCTCGGAGTTACCTGCCAGGGCCATCGAAGTAAATGCTGAGAGACAAGTTCGCTGACTCGGCAAAGCTCAGGAGCCCCTGGGAAGGGAGAGGCAGAGCAGTGAGGCCCCGCACCGGGCAGGGAGGAGCGGTGGACCGGGCGGTGAGCGCGTGGCGGGCAACCTCACCCGGAATTCCTTGAGGCAGAAAGTGATGGCCACCCCTTCCTGGGCCTGCAGCTGCTGGAAATCCTCCCCCCCGATGCTCATCTCGGTCACCATGGCTTTGACGGTGCTGTCTGTGAGGACAGCAACAGGAGGAAACCTGGGCCCTGCCCCATCCCAGCCCATCTCTGCCCCCTGCCCCAGGCCACGTCTGGCTCCCTCACCTGCCTCCTCCTGGTAGCTACGCAGGATGATCCTGTGGCCACGGCCAATCCCCAGCGTCACTTCGGCCAGCGCAGGGGGGAAGGGCAGAACAGCCTCCCCCAGGACCCTGTGAGGAGGGCACAGCATCACCCCACAACTCAGCCCCACCCCGTGGCTTCGCTCTCGGGATCTGAGGCGGGGTGGTGACGCACACCAATGTCCACAGGGAGCCAGGCCAGGCCTAGCATGCCCCCAGGGAGGACAGGAGCGGGACATGGTCCCTGCCCCGTCCAAGGCTCCCAGGCTGTCGTGGGAGGAGAAGTCCACTTGCAAGAGACGGGGCAGACAAGAGCAGAGCCCACAGAAGACAGCAGGAAGCACGGGCTGTTTGCGCTGAACCAAACCGGGCAGGCGGCACCTGGCCACCCAGGGGCGGGAGACCATCCCCACACGGTCTGCATAAATGTGGCCTTCAGGGAGAGCCCTCAGATCCTTGTCTAGAAAAGACACATGCCGATAAACAGTTACAGGTGAAATAACATCTGGAATTTGCCTCAAAACACTTGGGACAGGAACTGGCGTCTACTTTTATGAATTTAAAATTGCCCATAAGAAAAAGAGAAACAGGGACTTCCCTAGTGGCGCAGTGGTTAAGAATCCGCCTGCCAACGCAGGGGACATGGGTTCGAGCCCTGGTCTGGGAAGATCCCACATGCCGCAGAGCAACTAAACCCGTGCACCACAACTACTGAGCCTGAGCTCTAGAGCCCGCGACCCACAACTACTGAAGCCCGTGTGCCTACAGCCTGTGCTCCGCAACAAGAGAAGCCACCACAATGAGAAGCCCGCGCACTGCAACGAAGAGTAGCCCCCGCTCACTGCAACTAGAGAAAGCCCGCGCACAGCAGCAAAGACCCAACGCAGCCAAAAATAAATAAATTAAATTTAAAAACAAGAAACAATTGCTTTTTTTTAAAGTTTTTTTTTGTATTATGTCTAACAGAGACAAAATTATTTAAGTCAATAAATTTTTAAGGAATTTCACGTGTTCTGATTCTTTCCACTGTCAATCACCTTAGTTCCTCCAAACTCATAATCTTCAAGATAAAATAGCCTTTTCAGAAATAAGCTGTCATGTGAGTCAGCCCCCAATTCTCTTAGCTGGGCTTTTTTCATCTCCAATGGAATATGGACACACTTCAGAATTCCCCACCTGTAATCTCTGGGATCCAATTTCCTCAAGCAATTTACTTTAGGACCATGTTTAGGGTCAGGAGGTGGATCTGCCTGGTTCTGAATTTGACACCCTCTAAAAACGTATTAGGTTCAAATCACATTCACTCCTAAGCCATCACACCCTAAAACAGTACAGATTGTTGGGATAGGCCAATACCTAAGATAAAAAAAGTCTGACTGTTTTTCCAACGATGTAGGTTTACGGAAAATGCCCCATCAGGATAGATCTCAACACAACTGCTCTTTTTAAAAAAGAAAGAGAGGGGCTTCCCTGGTGGCGCAGTGGTTGGGGGTCCGCCTGCCGATGCAGGGGACGCGGGTTCGTGCCCCAGTCCGGGAGGATCCCACATGCCGCAGAGCAGCTGGGCTCGTGAGCCGTGGCCGCTCAGCCTGCACGTCCGGAGGCTGTGCTCCGTGACGGGAGAGGCCACAGCAGTGAGGGGCCCGCATACCGAAAATAAATAAATAAATAAATAAAAATAAAAAAGAAAGAGAAAGAAAAATCCTCAAAATACAGACCACAGATTGATTCCCTCTTTCTCTACCCAAAGGGATCCTGGGCAGTGCTGTTTCAACAGAACTCAGAAAAACAGAAAGTCAGGACCCAAATGGACCTTGAGGTTACCATGTCCTTCGGCTACCAAAAGAAAAGAAACACAAGACCTTGGGTTACTTGGATGCAAGTGGCACCCAGCGTGTGGGCGAGTGGGAGGGGAGCCACTCCTTTCTGCTCTTGTCTTCACCAGGGACCTTTGCATCTGCTGGAGTCTCCTGGGCCCTGCACAGCCCCTCTGATTCCCCAGAACAGTTCCATCTCTACAGCTGCTTATTCAGGCAGCCCTCCTGGACCAGGACTTCCCCGCCTAGCCTCCTTCCTTGGCCTCCTGCTGGGACCCCTCGAGGCTAGAGCCCAGCCAGGTAGGAAGAGAGGCTGCCCTTGAATGGGGATCATCCCAGAAGGATGATGAGGCCAGAGGAGGGTCATGAGTCCCTGAGCCACAAAAATTAAGGGACCTTCAAAGGTGTTCAGGCCAGAGAAGACTTGAGGGCAGGACAGAGACTCGTTCTCTGACAGAGGAGTCAGAATGGGTCTGAGTGGTCAGAAAACCAAGTCAGACCTTTGAGGTGGAGAATACAGACTCCAGAAGACAGTGAGGAACATGGAACAAGGGAGCACCCAGCCCCTCCTCACTCCAGCCTCTGCCCTTAGAGGAGCCAGGCAAGGACCTGAAAGCAAACCGGGTTGGATAAACTCCTTGAGGTCTACAGAAACCCTGTAGGGAAAATGGAGGAGGTGCCTTCTTAAACTGACCGTTGAGGCCCAAAGAAGGAAGACAGAAACCTAGGCCTCAGCTGGAAACCAGGGAGCGTGCTCACCTTGCTGGGGCACAGAGCACATGGGGGCACACGGCTGGGTCGAAGACAGCCTGCAGGGACTCGCAGTCCTGGAAGGACAGGTTGTGAGTCTTCCTCACCCCTGGATGGGCAGACAGGGTCTCAGTGGGCCTCGCCAACCTCCACCCCACGCCGCAAGGACGACCTGGCCAGCCAGCTGCTCACTCACCGTATTTGCAGTACAGCTGAACTACCAGGCGGCTGCTCCTGCCATTCAGGGAGATGCAGCATTTCTCCACGGTCTTCTCCAGCATCGCCAGCGAGCGGAAGACTGACAGGAACGACTAGGCGATGGAAACACATCAGCCCAGTGCCGCGCCTCCACCAGCCAGCTTCCACATCCCCTTAGGCTCTGGCCCATCACGGGCTCAGTACTGTCACACCAGGGAAGGACCTCCCACACACACAGAAATTTACACCCTTCCAGGCCTTCGTTCATACTGTTCCCCTTGTCTGGAATGCCTTGAAAGACCTGCTTACTTTTCAAGGACCAGCTTGAATGTCACCCCTGTCTGCAGGTCCCTGGCAGAATCAATTAGCCTCTCCATATCTCCCATTACCGTACCCTGTGGATGTCCGTACTATGCCCCTGCGCTGCATTTTGCATTGGATTGCTCCTGCATATGTTTCTCTCTCCAGCTGGCACCTACTGTGTGCCTCAGAGCAAACGCACTGTGGTAGAGGTTCCTGGGGGAGTGCACTGCCACCGCTGAGGGAGGGGCCTCACCTTCATCAGGATCTTACAGCGCAGCGGGTCCTGACCAGGGGTGGCCGCCTGGTACTGCTGGAAGAAGAGCGGGGCAAAGAGGAAGCAGGCATAGGCCGAACGGGAGGAGTTCACGGTCCGGAGGGAGAGCTGGGCCAGGAAAAGCGGGGAGAGGGATGCAGTCACCAGCAATGTCAGGCCCAGCCCTCTGGCCGGTTTTTGCTCACACACTTGCCCTAATGTCCTCCTCTTCCACCATCGTCTGCTGAATCCCTCCCTCTCCTTCCAATCAGCGGGTATCTTCTCCATGAAGCCTTCCCGGAGTGCCCCTCAGCACCGCTCCCGCAGCAAGGGCCCTACACAGCTTTCAGCGCCGACCCCACCCGCCCCCGGGCACTTCAGGGAGGGCAAAGGCTCTCAATTCACACACTGGTCTGGGAAGATGACAGGGCTCAAGGTGACGTCCCAGCAACAGGGGAGGAAACTGTAACTCAGCAGACAAATCTGCCCACCGGCATCCTATCTGATGGGGGCGAGACTCGAGCCCAGGTTAGGGCTCCCTGTGGGAATCTCACCCCCCCCCAATACCGTGGCTCCTCACCCCGTCTTCCAGGGGCTCCAAGTAGAGTTCGTCCCCGATACGGGACAGGGAGTGGACGGCCTTGCCGAGCACTGCGGGGAGGAGAGGAGAAAAACACTGCTTTGCTGGCGCTTTGGGCCGTCCCATGTGCCCCCAGCCCCGGGCTGGCCCCAACTCACCCTTCACGTTGCTGCCCGTAACCAGACACTTCATGCTGCTCCCCGCGGCCGGGTTGTGACAGGCGGCGGGCCCCGGACTGGACCCCAGCTCGCTGCTCCCCTCCGGGTCTCCCCTGCCGCCGCGGATGCCCCGGGTTCTCTTCCCGCGCACCGCCCCCGGAAGCACCGCCCCCGCCTCCTCATTGGGCCACACGCCTGCACCTCCGTCACGTGAGAAAAACGCTCGCTGGCTGCGCCGTCACGTGACAGAGTCCGGCTGGTGGCGGTCACGTTATCCGGGAGCGCCGGGCGCCTTCCTGGCTTGTCTCTTCGCGAGGTCCAGGGCCTCCCTCGGCCCTTCAGCGCCCCGGTTGAGCCGGGCCTGTCAGCGGGGCCCAGCGCGGCTGCGCGCCCGAACGCAAGGCGCTCAAAGGGTGTGGGGAAGCGAATCCGGAGATGTGCGGGCGAGCCCGCCTGGGTCACTAATTTAGAACGGATTTTCTGGGCGTCTGTCGTAGGTACGGGGTCGAAGGCAGACCGTCGCACCCAATCCGAGCCGGGGACACGCACAGAAGCAGCAACCACTGGCACTAAAAAGAAATTAAAGCACGTTGCGGCAGGATCCCGGGGTGGGAAGTGGCCGTTCGCTCTGGCTTCGAGGATCCTGCGTTGATCCCGAAGAAGAGAAGATTCTCCGGACAGAAAGGGGTAGAAGGGTGTGGCTGGCAGGGGGAGGTGAGAGTAAAGGCTCAGCGGTGCATGGGGCTTTGCCCCCGTTGGGAGGGAAGTGGGTCTGTGAGAGGAGGGGTGAGCGCTGCCAAATGATGAGGGTGACTAACGGGAACGGCTGGAAACGTTTTCTGAGGTTAGACGCATGCGTATGTGGCCCTTTGAAAAAAACGACCAAGGGACTGTGCCGAAGGAGGGGCTTCATCGGCGGGCAGGTCTTCCCCTAGCCCTGGGCCTCGGTCCTCCGCTGCGTGGACTGGAAGGGAAGTCCTGGAGGGGCTCCCTGACCTCTAGTTCCCTGCAGCACCCAGTGTGCTTTGAAGGGCCCTGGGAACCACTGCGTTCCTTTAGGGCCCATCTGGACTTGCCCCTCTGGTACTGTCCCCAGTGAGGAGGCCATGTTTGTCTGTGGGCCCCTTGCCCTCCTGCTCCTGGCCTGCAGTCCTGGACCCCACTTTGTTTCTTCCTCTCCTTGCCCTCAGCTCCGCTCCCTCACCAAGTTTCCCTGGAGCACTGGGAGAGGTTATTCTTGCCCCTAGAGGTAGTAAATGGTACTAGAGGTAGTAAATGGTACTACCTCTACCCAGGCTTTAGGTCAGTAAACCTGGAGTCATCCTTGACCCCATGCTCTCCCGCACCCTACATACTGCAAGCCTCCAGCAAGCCCTGACTGCTCTGCCTCTCAAACAGATGGCAGCTTCATCCTTTTCTCCCATGTCCACTGCCATCGTCCTGGCTCAGGCCACCATCATCTCTCACCTGAATGACTGTGGGGGCTCCCTGGGTGGTTCCCTGTCTCCTCCAGTCCACTTTCCAAGCAGCATCAATGTGACCTTCCTAAAATGTAAATTGTGTCACGCCTCTCCCTGGCGTAGACCCTGCAGTGGTTCCCAACTACTATACTTGCCGTCAAATCTAAATCCCTTGGGGATTCCGTGGCAGTCAGTGGCTAGGACACCGCGCTTTCACTGCTGAGGGCATGGGTTCAATCCCTGGTGGGGGAACTAAGATCCAGCAAGCCGTGAGTCCTGGCCGCCCCCCAAAAAAATTCTAAACCCCTTACCCCAAACCTGCAAGAAGGAGCGGGCCCCACCCGTCTCCCCACCTGTCTGTGGCCTTCCTGTGCATCAGAACTGGCCCCGTCAGTTCCCTGAACGAACCACATCCTTTTCCACCTTGGGATCCCTGTAAAGCTGTGCCCACTACTTGGAATGCTCTTTCCCCTTCTCATATGCTGGCGCCTTCTCTTCCTAGGGCTCAGCTTCAGTTGCCCATCCTCAGATAGGCCTTCTCTGCTTCCCCCTCCACCCGCCACCCCCCACCCTGCATTGTCTAGCTAAGCCCTTGCTCTGGGTTATCCACAGCACTTATCCCAACTCAACATTATTTCATAGTGTCTACTTCTTTAATGCCCCTAGTTATGTCAGCTCCATGAGGGCAGGGACCTAGTCTGTTTTGTTTGTTACTGTATCCCTCTACCTCCCACAGGCCTGGCCCTCAGCAGGTGATCAGTAAGTATGCGTTCAGTGAATAGGTGTGTGACCCAAGTGTAGCCGAGTTGCCTCTGGTTCCCTCATAGCACGTAGCATGGTGCTGTGATGAAAGGAACAAAACTTCCAGCCTCTGCCCACAGTCCAACCCTTCCGTGGACAATAGCTGTCCCCCCACATTCTGTGCAAACCCCTGCCCCCCAAGGAACCTAGCATTCGTTATTCTCTTCCTTACTTTCCTCATTCTCTCTGGATCTCGTCCTCTCTCTTTTCATTCCAGTGAAAATCAGCAGAGCCTTCATGGCTTCTCCACCTCTTCCCCACAGCCATTGCCGGAGCAGCCCAGCTGGAACAGAAGATAGATGCCAAAGCTCCCTGGAAGGCAGGGAGGGGAAGGTGTGACTAATCGCACACCCGTGTCTCTGCCCCTGACACCTATGGGACCAGTAGGGTCCTGTGGCATTGAGGTCTTTGGAGCAAGGCCCCGGGGGAAGGGAGAGGGAGATATAAACGCTTTTTTTTTTTAATATTTATTTATTTGGTTGCACCAGGTCTTAGTTGCTGCGGGCGGGCTCCTTAGTTGAGGCATGTGAACCCTTAGTTGCGGCGTGCATGTGGGATCTAGTTCCCTGACCAGGGATCGAACCCGGGCCCCCTGCATTGGGAGCGCAGAGTCTAATCCACTGCACCACCAGGGAATTCCCAACGCTTTAGGACTTTTGATGAGTCTTTCTTCCACTGCACACACACACCTGCCAAAAGTTGGGAATCACCTGACCCTTCTGAAGGGTTCAGACACGAGAAAAGAGCCTAGAGCCAGGACTCGGGAGTCCTGGGTCTCTGGTCTGTGCTTCAACGCTGACTTGCTGTGTGACTTTGGGCGAGTCCCTCCTGTCTCTGCGGCTGTACAGTGTGGTTGGTGGCACGAGATACTCACTGAGGTCCCTTCCCACCTTGACGTGCTGTGATCCCGAGGGGGCCCTTCGGCTTCCCTGAGCCCCTCACCTAGCCACGGCTCTGGAGAGGAGCTGGAATTGGCAGGCCTGCTTCCCCCAGGCTGTGGGGCTGGAAGGGAGCTTTCCAATCGGAGGCCAAGCAGCCTCTCCAGGCTTGCAGTTGGCATAGCCAAAAAGGCCTTTCTGGTCCAGAAGGGAGAACACACAACAGGGGACGAGGACCTTGCGACTCTAGCCCTGCTACAGACAGCCTCAAGCAAGTCGAGGCCCTTCTCTGAGCCTGTTTCCTCCTTGATAAAATGAGGGGGTTGGATGAGATGCTCTCTCAAGATCCTTTCAAACCCCACATTCTTACAGTCTTCGCCATACCCCACAGTAGGGGTGGTCTCCTTCAAGTACACAAGTATGTGATGGTGTGTGTGTGTGAATATCAGGGGTGGATATGGAACGGATGAAGGTGGTTACCATTTCAAACTTTTAAACTAATTTTCTGTCTGGAAATTTCTTCCGTTCAACCACCGCTTCTCACTCAACTGGTTACGTTTGAAATCGCAGAATCCTCAGAGCTCAGTAATTCGTTCATTTAACACGTGTTAGACACGCTTTCCTGAGTGTAGGAAAGAAAGCACACGACGAAACTCCCTGCCCTCGTGGGCTTCCACTCGACTGGAGAGAGACAAACCAGAGGGCCTGACTGTGCCAAAGCCTCTGGCAGAGCCTGCTGGGCTGCGCACACGGGAGACGGGATTTGCCTGGTGACTCTGGGGTTGCCGAGCGGGTAAGGGAGCTCTGAGCTGCTGGGGGCACTGAGCTGCTGGGGGCACTGAGCTGGTGGGGCTCTACTTGCCCACCTATCATGCCTTTGTGGCACACCAGGTGCCTCGAACCCCCAGAGGCAAGCCCTGCCCGGGCCTTTCTTGTTCACTGGCATTTCTCCCAGCAACCAGAACAAGCCTGGCACATAGCAGTGGTTTAAAAAACAGGTCAGATGCCCCAAGAGTATAGGGTTCAGAGAGCTTACAAGACTTGAAGCCAGGGACTTCCCTGGTGGTGAAGTGGCTAAGAACCCACCTGCCAGTGCAGGGGACACGGGTTCGAGCCTTGGTCTGGGAAGATTCCACGTGCCGCGGAGCAACTAGGCCCGTGAGCCACAGCTACTGAGCCTGCGCTCTAGAGCCCGCGCGCCTAGAGCCCGTGCTCCGCAACAAGAGAAACCACCCCAAGGAGAAGCCCGCACATCGCAACCAGGAGTAGCCCCTGCTCGCCGCAACTAGAGAGAGCCTACGTGCAGCAACGAAGACCCAACACAGCCAAAAAAAAAAAAAAATTATTAAAAAAAATAAAGCCCTTAGTTCACACGGTCAGTGTTGCTGTTACTGGGATTGCTGTGTCCTAGCACCCCCATCTCTGGAGTGACCCCCTCATGGTATTCTGGGGTCAGGACCAGGGACAAAATACATCACCAGCACGGACGAAGCCAGGGTGAGTCCATACTAGGAAGTGAGAGGGAAATCCCCCCACAGAAACATTACAGAGGAAAGCTCTGGAGGCCAGGAACTGGAAAATAGAGAATTAGGGTTGGGGTAAAAGTCAGCCCCAAGAAGAGGCGTGGGTGTAGGCAGGGCTGCGTGCCGCCCCTTGATTCTGGGCCCCCGGTGTGCCCTCTGCCGCA